CTCGATTGATACTCTAATCGATTCTCCTGTTTCAATTCGAAGTCTCCACTTGCTTTTGTCGATTTCTCCTTCTATGGAATCATGCTGAAAGCAAAACGGAAGAAGGCAAAGGGTTCCAAACGTCGAACATCTGAACCTGAAGTTGTGGCTGGCCTTGGAGGTGGAGGCGATAATTTCGGCGACAGGGTTGTTGGTTATAATGATTTTGACAGGGTTGTTGGTGATGATGATTTCGATGAGGTTGATGATGTATCAGGTGATGGAGACGGCCATAGGCATGTAGAAGAAGGTTGCCAAGACTTAAGATATTGACTCTGCTATAGTCTTGTTTTGTGTCGGCTTTAGTTTTGTTTTAAGGTTTTAAGGCATTATCTCTGCTTTAGTTTTGAATTCGGTTTTAAGGGTTTGTATTTTGTCGGCTTTAGTTTAGTTTAAAGTTTTTGTATTGTATTGGGTCGGCTTTAACTTTGTGACGGATGTATCGGACTATTATCTCTGGTTTGTTCGAGGAGAAAGAGAAGGATAAACTGAAAAATATTATATGGGAATGCATTGAGGAGGGAGTTAAGCTGGATCCCAATACTAAGTTCAAAGTGATTTGTCTCTTGTCTCGATATCGGATAGATATTTCAGAATTTAGATCGGTTTTTGAGAAATGGAGGGACAACTTTGATATTTCTGAGTCATGCGATGAGTTATCTGTTTTTCTGGCTGAGTTTTGTGGCATCTGTATAATTGTATACACACACGATTGGCGCTGTAATTCTTTTATGAAAATCTTTATTTTAATTATTAATTTTGTATAATCCATATATCAATTTTTGATCTTCATAATTATTATTAAATATATATTATTAGTTAATTTTACAAAATATTTTAATATGTAGTGTTCCACAGAGGTACTAAACCTGGGGGATCCCAATATCGTTTTGTAAACCAAATCCCATTGACTCTGGTAATCCATGAACAAAGCTGGCCACATCGATTTTGACTTGAATGGTATGCTTCAAAAGAAGCAACGAATTTGCGGTTAGGCCCGTATCTAAGAACGCGATTCCATCATGTTTCGTCTCGCAAATGCTTATCTTCAAATACAACGATAAAGAAAGGTTCCTTATACTTTAATATGTGAGATTTTATTTTATCGTTAGGGTCTCCACCACAGACAATGTCGAGATCATTCTCAGGACCGAGTTCATTGTGAATAACTACATGATTTCTCTTGCAAGCTTCGTTTAACTCAAAGTACACAGTTGTAATTAACAAAAACTATCAATTTTTCATATAATGTAAGGGTATTTGTTAGAGTAAAAACAAAATCAACATGTAGTATTTATAAAAACAAATTTGTGAAAACATATTTTTCTTAATTTAGTAAATAATATATTCAGTGGAAAATTTTAAATATAAAAGTAACTAATTTAACGTGTGGTCGGATGAATGAGTGTTTAGTTTGATAAGATTGAGTGGCCCCTAACATGAAACTAATTCTCTTTGAATAATGCGATGAAACAATGTCACAGTCAGCTCTTAAAGTTTAGAAAATCTCTTTGAATAATGTGAAGTAAGAGGCATAATGAAAGAGAATAGGGCTGAGAAGAAAAGAAAAGAAAAGAGAGAAACAATGACATATGATCTTTTTATGTTATAGAAAGAAAACATAAAGAAATGAATATATTTTTTCGATGGAACAATATCACAGTCAGCTCTTAAAAGTTTAAAAATTCCCCTTAAATAATGTGAAGTAAGAGACTAATGAAAGAGAATAGTGCTGAGAAGAAAAAAGAAAGAAAAAAAAAGAAATGACACATTATTTTATTATATTATATTATATTATATTTATTTGAGTGATTTTGTTTTTGTTTCTATTTGTTGGATGAAAAATAATCATTTCTAGAAGAGAAAAAAAAATTGAAGCTTTCTTCTTGTGTTTATTTAATGAAAGAAAATTTAATAAAAATTGTAAAAAAAAGGTGACACATGTCAGTTTTTTAGATGCCACATGGCAGCATGTCAGAGCTGATTGTGAAAAAACCTTACTTTATTAGAATAATAACTAGAAGAAGGTCCGCGCATTGCGCGGATTTGTATTATTTTGACTATTTTAATTCTATAATCACTTTTATTATATTTGTTAGTAAATTTTATCGGTAAATATTAGTTTTTAAGTTGTATATATTCTTTAAACTTTGTATGAAAAGATTGGTGAAATAATAATGATTTGTTTGAACCTGTTAGAGAAGTGATGCTGTCATTGTGGATGACCGAAAAGAAAGTTCTCGAGAATAGAATCCATATTGTGATAGCAATGGCGATTTGAGGTTGGATGCAGTAGGAAAGTAAGTAGTGAGGCCCTAATGTAAAAAGATTTTATGAAAGCAAATAGTGCATGATTTTCTTTTTGATTGCCACAAAGAGAACATGAAGAAATGAATATATTTTTCCAGACAGAAACAATGATATAGTCAGCTCTAAAAAATTAAAAAAATCTAAATAATGTGAAATAGGAGATATAATAAAAGAGAATCTAGTGGAGAAGAAAAAAAAACCGAGACATTATTTTGTATTTGTTCGATGAAAGTGAATACAATAGAAATGGGAAAAAATAACACATGTCAACTTCTAAGATGCTATGTGACAGCATATCAGATTTGTTTATGGATAAAAAAACCTTACTGATTTTTGTTTCTGTTTGTTAGATGTAAAATAATCATTTGTAGAAGAGAAAAAAAAACTGAAGCTTTCTTTCTGTGTTTGTTAAATGAAAGAAAATTTAATAGAGATTGTCAAAAAAAATAGAAAAAGTGACACATGTTAGTTTTTTAGATTTCACGTGGCAGCATATCAGAGCTGGTTCGACCTTACTGATTTTGGTTTCTGTTTGTTAGATGAAAAATAATTGTTTGTAGATGAGAAAAAAATCTTCTCCTAGTAATTTAATATAACTAATATTTTAAATAAAATATTTGGCAAGATGAGCCTAAGACTCGAAGCACAGTACTTATTTCACAAAAGCTAAATTTTATTTTATACAGTATATATTTATTTCACAGTATTTATTTCACAAAGGCATATTATAAAAAATCTAAATTTTTTTCACAAAAGCAAATAATACATGGTTTTCTGTTCATTTGACCAGAAAGAAAACATAATAGAATGAATCTATTTTTTGCGATGAAACAATATCACAGTCAGCTCTTAAAAGTTTAGAAAATCTCTTTGAATAATGTGAAGTAAGAGGCATAATGAAAGAGAATAGGGCTGAGAAGAAAAAAAATATAGAGAAACAATAACACATAATCTTATTATGTTATAGAAAAAAAATATAAAGAAATGAATATATTTTTGCAATGGAACAATGTCATAGTCAGCTCTTAAAAGTTTAAAAATCACATTAAATAATGTGAAGTGAGAGACATAGGGTCTGACTAGTTGTAGTCTATCGAAGAAAAGACAAAAAAAAAAATCTTCCAGTAATTTCAAAAAGTAAACCAATCACAAAGAAAAGAAAAAAAAACAGAAGAAAAAAGTATCTTCTGAAATCAGTAGAAAGGTGTGGAAAATTCCCTTCCACCCAAACCAAGTTGAAAATTTTATTCTATCTAAAATCACACATTCAAAACAAATAAAATAATTTCTTCTAATTATAATTTTTCTTTTCTTCTCAATTACATCATTCTCAATTCCTCTCAATTCTTCTAATGCACACCAATCAAACCCATAATGAAAGAGAATAGTGCTGAGAAGAAAAAAAGAAAAGAAAGAAAATGACACATTATTTTATGAGAAAATTCCATAAAAATACACCAACTAAATTTCTCTGAGCTTTTTAATATCCAACTTATTTTTGTACCCAGTTTATTACCTCAACTAGTTTTCTTGCTCAACTTAAATCACCAACTGTGGACCGTGTGTTGCCTCGTTAACAGAGTTTAACGACACTGTAGACGGAGTTAAACGCTGACTAAATTTCTGTTAAATATCTAACTAAAAAGCTATACTCGATTTCCTTAATATATAGCATTTCTTCTTTCCCCAATTCTATAACCCTAAATCAAAAAAGAAAATCGATTTTGGTTTAGATTTGTCAACAGAGAGACGCGAGAGAGAAACAACATTGGAAAAGATGAATCGAAGCAAAGGTTCTGGAAGTGGGTCGAACTCAAATGCAATGAGTGGAAGAATGAGCTTGATGATGGGTGAAGTGAGATGTCACTGTGGAAAGCCATCGGTCGTGAAGCAGGCGTGGACAGACGATAATCCAGGATGAAGGTTCTATGGCTGTGGAGATGCAAACTGGAAGTCTTGCAATTTCTTCCGGTGGTTCGATGTTGAGAAGCCTCACGGTTGGCAAAAAACCGCTTTGATGGAAGCATGAGATCTAATTCGGGAGCAATTTGAGGAGCTGAAGAAGCTCAGAGCTTTAGTGGGCCATGTGAAGGTTGAAAATGAAGATGAAGAAGGAAAGAAGAAATCAGAGTTGTTGGTTCAGATTGAAAATGAGAACAAGCAGCTGAAGCAAGAAATTGTGTCGTGTATTGAAAAGGAGAAGCTTCTCCGACAATTTGTGTTGATTTCATGGATAGGATTTGTAGGTGTTACTGCCGTAATTGTCAATGCTTTGAAGTAAGTTGTTTTGTTGTTTGTTGTAGCTTTGATAATGGTTGTAATGTTCGTATTGCATTTTGGTATGCTATCTATGTAATGTTTAATTTTCTTGTTATGAATCCACAAATGAGTTTGTTATTAACATTTTGACTTTTATTGTGTTCCGAATTAATGAATTGACAAATTTCACAAAGTCAAAGATGTTACAAAGGAAGATGCATTAAAAATTGAAAAGCCAAATCAAGATTAAAAATTCATCATCATCTTAGTTTACAAAAAGAAAAGGCAAATCAAGATTAAGACAGAGTTTTGATAGCCGATACAAAATAAAACCAAATGAACATTTGGAGTTTACAAACCAAAAGAAACATAGTACTTGCAAAATATTACTTGCGTGAATTTGGACCTTTGGAAGAGTCACCTCCTACTTGTCTTGATGTGGAACCAAAGCATTCAAACACCCGATTAGAAAATGGGCACATGTACACACCGATTCCTCTCGGAACTGTCACCTTACGAGCTTGTCCTCTTCCAGGAGGACGTCCACGACGACGCCCTGTTGCAGCAGCTGCAGTAGATGATCCCGCTTCAGTTTGTGGCCCTGTTGAGACTTGAGGTGCAGTAGAAGCAGGTACAGTTGATGATGAAGCTTCATTTTGTGGCCTTATTGAGGGTTGAGGCGCAGTAGAAGGTTGGGATTGAGTAGGCATAGATGGTAGAGTTGTAGGCTGTGATTTAGTAGCCCTATGTTTTCTTGGTGGATATGGGTTGCTGCCTCTAGCATCCTGATATGTTAAACTCTTTAACATGTGAGAAACATTTCATAAGAAAGCACCATGTTACAGAGGAATAGCTAAACTTAGAATTACCTTACGAGGTCTTCCACGTTTGGGTGATGAAACCTGGACCACGAAGGTTTCATTTTTGCAAGTACCACGGTTATGTCCTTCCTGCTTACAGTTACCACAAGTTACTGTCCTGCCTCCTCGAGTTACTCTATTTGGCCTGGAAGGAGATTCATGTGCTGCTTTTATCCTTTTTTTCTTAGGTCTTCCTGGTATTTTCCTGAAACCTGGCACTTCAATAGGCTCTTTACCAGTCTTTTCCTAGAATTTCTCTCCATTAACTGGTTTTATGTTGTTCATATACGTCGCTTGCCAAACTTCAGTCTTGTAATAGTACTCCACATGACTGCAATTAAATGATCATAATGATAAACAACACAAAACAAGAGAAAACAAATTTTAACATAATGATAAACTCTTACTTTTCTGGCTGCTGGTGGTTCTCATTGATAACGATGATTTCATGTGGACAAGGTATGCCAGTTAGATCCCACTCCCTACAAACACAAGTACGCAGACGAAGACTGACCTCATAGCTACAACCGTACAACAAAACTTCAAACAAGTTGTCTGAACTTGTCATTACAGAACAATCCTTGCTCTCTGCTCTGTTCGCTTCCAAAATGTCTGCAATCTTCTTCGGGAAAGGCAGTATGCACCTGCTTGCTCTCTTAAATCTACGAGAAATACGCATCATAGCCTGTCTCCTAATTGCTTCCATCATATTAATCAAAGGCAACTCTCTAGCTCCTTTAATTGTCCTATTGAAGCTCTCTGATAAGCTGTTACAAACGTTAGCAGATCTTGCATTTGTCGAGAAAAAAACTAGACTCCAACTCGTTGGATCAGCTTTCAACAAATCATCATGAGCCTCTCGGTCATATACACGTAACTCCTCCATGTGCAAATCATACTCTCCTTTCGTTTTGCTGTAGGCCACATTCCAGAAAAAAGGTTTGTAGTCAGTATCCCTGTACTTCTTTTTCTAGTTACCATATACATGGTTTGCACAATTTCTATGCTCAGCGTTTGGTAGAACACTAGCTAGAGCTAATTTTAAACCCTGCGAAATTTAATAGTCAGTTAGTACTACTTAAAACAGTGCATAACTACTTAAAGCAACTTTAATAAATTAAAGACAAGAAGCATACCTTTTGTTTATCAGATATGAAGGTGATGCCATCTCCTACACCCAAGCCCAAGTCAGTTGCCAACTTCTCGAAGAACCATGTCCAAGATTCCTTGTTCTCACCTCTAACGACAGCCCAAGCTATAGGATAAATTCTGTTCTCTGCATCTCTACCAACTGCTGCTAATATCACGCCCTTTAACTCCCATTTTAAGAATGCACCATCAACGCCTATCAGAGGTCTACAATAGTTCTTCCAAGTTCTCCTTAGAGGTTCAAAACAAACATAGAAGCTTTCAAACACTTGTATTCCATCCTTCTCAACGGTTACTATTTCTGTTGTAACATCTTTGTTCTTTCTCACCAACTCAGCCTCATAGTCCCTTAACTTAGCAAATTGCTCCTTCTGAGTATCTAACACCATATCTAAGGCAATTCTCCTTGTTTTTCTGCATTTATATATCGAAACTGAGATGTTGTACCTGTGCATTAACTCATCTTTGATATCAGAGCTCCTTATGTCAGGTCGTCTTCTTGCCTCCTCTTTGAATAGTCTAGCAATTGTTCCCTGTTTCAACATCCTCGCTCTTCCTGTAGGCAAATGATTGTGTTGCCACTCATACACTTTCACCATCCACTTCCGTATAGGTTTCTCCACGGAGCAATAGATCCTCCATTTACACTCTTTGTGTGTGCATATTGCTGCAAGCTTGTCTGGTTGCCACTTATTCAGCTTCACATCAAACTGTGTCTTCAAAACATATCTCAGAAGTTGATCCTTAAACTCATCTCCACTGTTAAACGTCTGCATCAGCCATAAGTACGGAAGTTTATCATACTCACCTTTACTCTTTCCTTGCTTACGAGGTCTTCCACGGCCATCTTTCTTGTCCCAATTCCACCACTCTTCATCAGTGTCTTCTGGAGAATCTGGATATTCACCAGGAGGAAGTACTCTTTCACCCTCGACTTCACTGTCGTAACCAGCTTCAACATCCACATTAGGTTGAGTACCCTTTGAACGAACTGTAGGAGTCTCTAGTTCAGCTAGTGCAAACAAGTTTGCAAACCGTGGGTCATCAGCTCCAACTTCACCTAATATCTGGTTCTCATCCTCAGATTGCACTTCTTCTTCCGGTCTAGTTACTTCTTGACCACCTTCTTCCTCTCGCTCTTCATGACGTTCTTCTTCTCTCTCGTCCTCGCTACTTTCCACTCGGTTTTCATCATCACTTTCTTCTTCCTCTCTGTTTTCTTCGTCTCCACCGTTTTCATCATCAGCCTTCTCGCCATCATTCAAACAGTCTTCAGTAGCTTCATTTTCACCAATAGCAGTCACAACACTCGAAACATTTTCAACAACATTTGGGGGAGCAACACTATGCTCGATGTAGATGTAGACTTCTCCACATTCGTTTGCTTCTGAAGCCATCTTCATTATCTCACTATCCTTATCCTGCCATATCGATCTTGCCAATGACATATCTTCATCAGGTAATCTATACCAGACTTTCTCGACATCACTCACAACTTCTTTACTTTTGGTGAAATCTTCAAAAATCGAGAAGGTGAGAAAATCGGGATCCACCAACATATCTGGAGCAGTCGATCCACCTATATAACATAGCTTCTCCCCTTCCTTTGACATTACACCTCCGTAGTGAATATGCATCTTCAGCTTCTCATCTTCGTAACTGTGAAACAAAAAAAGTTAATTACAGATATGAAACCGAGAAATCCATAAAATAAGACCATGAAACCAAAATATTGCCTAGAATCATACCTCATATTGCTTGATTTTGCTGTAATTCAGTCGATTTTTTTTTATTTAGGGTTCATCGGTGAAATTGGGATTTTAAGTTTTGATTCTAGATTTGGGGATTTTGTCGGGATAAAAAAACAGGTCGAGTAATTAGATGGGTCGGGGTTTACGGGTTATGTTTATCGGGTATTACGGGTTATGTTTATCGGGTTTGGATTGTTTAACTACAGTCCAATCGTAGTTAAATCGATGACAGAAATCAAACGTCGTTCATATTTCTGTTCACAGCCGTTTCGTATATGACAGAAATCAAGTATACGATTCACAATTGATGCTTTAAGTTGGGCAAGAAAAATAGTTGAGGTAATAACTGGGTACAAAAATAAGTTGGATATTAAAAAGCTCAGAGAAATTTAGTTGGTGCATTTTTATGGAATTTTCCCTTATTTTATTATATTGTATTAGATTTGTTTGAGTGATTTTATTTTCGTTTCTATTTGTTAGATGAAAAATAATAATTTGTAGAAAAGAAAAAAAATTGAAGTTTTCTTCTTGTGTTTATTTAATGACAGAAAATTTAATAGAAATTGTAAAAAAAAAGTGACACATGTCAGTTTTTTAGATGCCACGTGGCAGCATATCAGAGCTAGTTATGAAAAAAAACTTTACTTTATTAGAATAGATAATGAAAGAAAATTTAATAGAAACTGTAAAAAAAAAAGGTAACATATGTCAGCTTTTTAGATGCCACATGGCAGCATGTCAGAGCTGATTGTGAAAAAAACTTTATTTTATTATAATAGATTCTTTTACCCATTCAAAATCCAACATTATTCAATTAATATTTTTATGAAAGTCATAACAAATCTATGGTTATTAGATCATTTCTAAGTTTTTTAGATAACTGAATTTGAAAATCTAAGGGTACTTGATTACACGTTTTAGTGCATTGCAGTTGTATTAATGCATGTGTTATCAAAGATTTTAGGATGGTTATATTGTGTTACATAAATCCCTTTGCTTAACATTGCTTTCCATTATAGTTTTAAGACTGAACTTCTCTTTTGTAAAAAAAAGTTTATGTTGTGTATATTGAAATCTATTATATGGAATGTTTGTAAAATAAGTACATGTTTTGAACTAAATCTATCAAGAAAGCTAGTAAGAAGAGTTTGTATCTCGATGTCGCAAAGATCTTTCTGAATTTAGATCGGGGTTTGAGAAATGGAGGGATAACTTCGATGTTTTTGATTCCTGCGATGAATTGTCTGTTTTTCTGACTGAGTTTTTGCGGCAACTATATAATGTGTGTACACACAATTGGCGCTGTAATTCTTTTATGTATTTACAGAAATAAAAAAAAAATATATATATATATATTATATAAATATTTTTTACAATATTATGTTATATAATAACATCAAATGATTATTTTTAAGTCTTTGAAATATTCCATCGAAGTACTAATCCAGGCGGATCCCAATATCTTTTTGTAAACCAGATCACATTAGTCCTGGCAATCAATAAGCGTAGCTGGCCACATCGCTGATAGTTTGAATGATTCTCTTCAATAGAAGCTTCAAATTTATTGTTAGGCCTGTATTGAAGAACGCAACGCCATGTTGTTTCGTCCAGCCAAGGATCATCATTAAAAGAAATAACATAAAAAGGTTCCTTAAATTTTAATGTGTGAGATCTTATAGGTCCAAATGGAATTTCGCCACAATTAATTGCGAGATCACTCTTAGGATCGAGTTCATTATGAAATACTATTTCATTTTTCTTACATTTTAGTGTTTAACAACAATCACACAAACATATCATATCGTTTTGTCTCTTTTGAAACTGATTTATTTTATAACTATTTTTTTTTCTTGCGCTAATATATAATTAAAAAGTGAAATAATAAATTCTTATAATATATTTTGAATATTATATATACTATGCTTTTTTCCTCTTAAACAATATAATCTTATCAATATATACAATTTAAGTATATATTTTTCCTTGATTTATTACTAATTTAACCAAAATTAGTTTTACCATCTTTACTTATAGTAAGAGCAGGTAGATGGTTGGCCTGGACATTCATGCACACCGACTACCTCACCGCTCTTAGGACAGATAAATTTCTTTAAATATTATAAAGTGTCTAGTTACTAAAATTAAAATTGGATTATAATCAAGGTTAAAAAAATGCATGCATGACAAGTTCGCATGTGACTTCAACTTTCGCGCATATGTGCAGGTATAATATTTTTGATATATATAGTTAAAACATTAGTATGTTTTGTATATATATGTATATCGTTTTAGTATTTCATAACTTATTTCTGAAACTATTGTATTTTAAAACTTTTTCTTCTTATGAAATTTGTAATAATATATAATCAAAAATAAAAAAGTTATATTAAATAATATATAAAAGTTATAATATTTTTTGAATATTATTTATAATATGTTTTATTTTATCTTACACAATCTATAATATTTTTTTACGTCTTACATAATATAAATTTGAAATACGTATATAATATATTTTTAAGTATATATTTTTTTCATTTATTATAAATTAAACTGAAATAGTTTTTACCATTTTTACTTATCCTAAGAGAGGATAGATAGTTGACAACTTGACATGCATGTGTGGGGGGTACCAACCACCTAGAATAGATAAAAAAAATTAAAAAAAAGAAATTATACTATAAAAATTAAAATATAAATTAGACTGTAATCAAGCTTAACAAATACTAACATGCACGAAAAAAGTTCATGTGACTTCTGCTAATGCTCAATTAATATTTATGTTTGTACGCGTATTTGTAAAAAAGTCGAAATATGGCTCTTACATGTTAAAAAGTTTTTAAATGACTTTGTAAAACAAAGTGTGAGAGATTTATTGCTATACACTTCTATTTTTAATTCTTATTCATATTTATTTCATCTTATTTTAATTTATTATATAGTTTGGTTATTTTTTTATTTCATTTATGATCTCAAATTTTTGATATACAAAAAAACAATTACGAATACATATATATATATATATATGATATTATGAATATATGTAAAACATTAAAATCATAATAATAATTATTTTCTGTTAATTTAAAATTTGTTAATTTTAGTGTTATAAGTATAATCTAGTATTTTATGTTTTAATTCTACAAGTTCTTTAATTTTAATTCAGCCAATCAAAATATTTTATTTATTTAAGGAAGTTTGACATGTCACATTTACATGTCATCAATTAAAAACACTAACTTTGACTGTAGTATTGATAAGTCAGCTATTTTCAATAATGTTACTTCTCAAATAATATGTAGTGGATATCCACACACATATTTGTGAAAAAATCCAAGTATGGCTGACTTTTATGTGTTAAAAGAAACTAACAAAGTATATATTTTGTAATATATATATATATATCATATAATGTAGGGGTGGGCATTTTGGTTTTTGATTTGGTTTTGGTTCGGTTTCTTCGGTCTTACAGATTTTTCGCTTTTATAAAAGTTCAAACCATATAAAAATCATATATGTTTTGGTTCGGTATAGTTCGTTTATCTTTGGTTTTTGGTTTTTCGGGTTTAAAAAAATTAAAACCATACAAAAACCATATGTAACATAGTTCAGTTTAGTATGGTTCGGTTTTGGTTTTTTCGAAATTATACTATTACAAAAGAATTTGATTGAAACTAATGGAAATAGTAATAATAGATGTTCATGAAATAAAAAAAAGTTCAAAAAATAGAATCCAATTCATAAGAAATCCATCAATAAAAACTAAATTTATAAAAACCAAATATATAAAAAAAAAACAAGATTCTTATCAATGTCATCATTCTTCAGCCACTATTGTTCATCTCCTCATGTTGTTTATAAATCTCTGATATACAAAATTTATAATATATTTAAAGACCACAAAGGATTCAAATTTAAATATCAAGAACAGATTTCAAAACAGAGAAACAAACAAAGTATTAAACCTTTTAAAATCAATAACTAGAAAACAATAAATAGAGATAAAATAAAATTAAATACCTAGAAGGATAGAAATAGATTATTTGAATATAAAAAAGAGGAGTTAACCACAAATTATTATTTTTTGTTTAGATTGAAAACTAAGGTTTACAAATTTTTATTATTTGCATATAATAATTTTTATATATATTATATTTTTAATTTATGAGTTAAGTTAGTAAATTATAAATATAATTAAGCCTAAGACCTGAACTTATTAAAAAAAAATATATATATAAAATAAATAAAGTTTAGTTTTAAAACCGAAAAAACCTTTCGATTTGATGGTTTTTAACCAAACTAAACCTAAACCAAAACTAAAAAAATGATAATCAAATAGATTATTAGGTTTAACCATGACCAAACTATATTACTTTATCGGTTACGGTTTTTGTGCCCACCCCTAGTATAATGTATGACTGAGTTTTAATTAAAAATAAATATGTATATTTATACATGTAAGTATGAGTTAGAAATAAGTAAATTGTAATATCAAGGTGTTGGTTAGTTTTTCTGATATTTTTTTCCAAACGTTATGTTTTTACACGATGCAGTTTCTTGTGTTTAATAACATTCATGAAAACCGTTTCTATCATTTTGTATATAATCAAAATTTCTTAATTTTAAGTGTTTTTTGATATATGGTTTAAAATTAAAATTATATTAAATATTAACAAAAATTGCAAAGAACTTTTAAAAAAATCAAAATATAATATTTCACTTTATCATGCAAATAAGTATAGTACATAGGATAATCTATTATTCATTTTCCTTTCCAATAAAAATTATAATAAATATTTGGGATAAAAATTTTGAAATCATATTTTATAATATTCTCCAATAGATTTTCGCTCATCTCTTTGTCTAATATTGAGGAATAAGCTTGATGAAGGAAATATTTTTTATGGTTCGCGTACACTTATGTTGTTCGGGAGCATTTTACAGGATGGAGCCGCGTCTTCTAGTTTTTTGCTCTGGGGGAAAGGTGGTGAGTTGTCCCAGG